AAAAAGGGTGCGGCTTATACACCTGAAAATAGGGTAGTAACATGCTTAGCAAGGGTCAAAATAAATGATGGTCAATAAATAAAACTTATGTCAATAATACAATCAATAAACCAAGGTTCATACTAATCGTGCTTAGCAGGCTTGGTTTAGATTACACAATTTTGGGATGTTGTCATTGACTTTGAAAAAACATAAGAGTTTGAAGAAAGAGGTTGCCGGCTAGGGATCATCAGGGGATCGTACAAAGTACGGCTTGTACAGCTTTCCCTGTTTAGTATGTTTATAGATAAGAAAGTAGGAATACTTATCGGTATAGACAGCGTGAAATCCAGACATCTGCAGCTTTGGCATATGAAGTTTTCGTCCAAGCTAGATCCCCCTTCTTGTGGGGTTGTTAAAGGCAGGTCCAGGCTAAATCTAACCCCCTCCGATTAGTGCCGATCCTGTAGTCCTCAGGAGAGGGTCATGGCGTTGATTAGGTTTTCTAATCTTGCCTTTGAACGGAGATAATGGGCGTGGGACAGCAAAAGCCCTATCAAACCCCGCCCAGATCCTATCAAGCTCCGCCCACCCATGAACTGAAAGCCGTCCGCGCCCTCAAAAAAAGTCCCCAGAAATCGGGTTTTTTGGTAGTTTTGGACAATTTAAACTTCATAACTGTAATCAGAGTCACGGAAAGGTCTCAGAATGGCAAAAACATGGGAGACGAAATTTTGGACGGACACTGCCTTTAAGGCAAGCGGCTCTAAGTAAGGCTACTGAATTGAGGGATGAGATACCGTGCTCTACCGCTACCGGCCTGCTCCTGCTCCCTCGAAAGTGCAACTGGTGTCTACCGAAATGCGGACGAGAGTGTAACAGTGTAAAATACTCACTTGGAACGTACTCGTCCTTCCTTGAGAATCTCGCTCTCAAAGCTGCGAACTCTATTCTTTGCCTGGCTTTGAAGTAGCTCCGGCAATCTGTCTACGGGTCGTAACAATCGCATCTGCGACATACCTTCGCTCAGACGAAGTCTTCTTTCTTCGTCTTTTAATGGTCCCTTTGCCTTAGCATCGTTCTGTATGCAGATTTTTACGGTTTAATCGAATTCGTGCCAAACTCACGCTTGGACGTAATGGCTCCGCAGCATCCGATCCCATTCTACCCTTGTGCATGATTTGCTTTTCGAGCACAATCCTAGGTGGCAGAATTGAGCGGTCTGGAGTGCGGAAGCGGTCATCTCCTTCTGATGACCCCTGGAAATTTTTGAGATTGCTTAGAATTGAGTTTTTCGTCCGGAAACGTAAGCACTACGAAGCTTCATGAATCGCTTCAATGATTTCTTTTTTCAAATTATCTCATCAAAAATTTGCGATGTCCATTCATTCATCTCAAGGCTTTTTCCAAAACAGTGTTTTTCAACCTTTTGGGAATAATGAAAAAAGTAAGAAAGGAATGATGGAAGTTACGATGAAGTATTTATATTTCTGACTTACAATTAGCAAAATTCAATCAATTTTGTAAAACCAGTTTGGATCACATTCTATGCTTTGCAGATCCGAATTTCTTTCATTTTGGTTCTCCCTTAATGTTCAACGAGGGGTGGATAAGTACCTTAATTTTCAGGTTTGACAATCATTTATCAAAAAAGTCCAAGCTAAACACCTATAGATGGCTGCCACCTGAACGGCTCACTTAAAATGGACAGCATAGTCCATAGCAAACTAGAATTAGAATTGTTACGCAAGCATGTGAAATGGTTTCTTGCCATGGCTAATTGCATAATTGAAGCTAACAAGGCTAGGAATTTTTCTCAAAAAACTTCCTCACATAGTATAAGCTTTTGATGTTACGGTTACGTCGTTCATATTCAGTGTAGTCTAATTTTTTCCTAATAAACTGTGAGATTTCTATGTAGCCTAGCTTATAAAATATATTTCGACGTGTGGGGGAGCAGAAGTCAACTTCTTTAGTTTTTCAACCCCAATTATATGTTCTCTGTGTCAAGAGGCGGCGAACAAGTGTTTTCGCTGTTCTACGCCAATTTGACCCTTCGCTTAGGTATATACATATGGATGTTTTGCATGGAATGAGTCCTTGATCAGAGAATAGGCTAGAATAAAAGAATCATCCTAAGTTGCTAGCAAATATAGCATGTAAATGCATAACTTTGAATTATCTAGCTTTCTGGAATGAATAGTTTGGGAAAATTGCTCAAATCTTCAATTAAAGAAACGATGACTGTGATCTCACCTGTTTACAGGAATCAGGAGCACAAAATGAAGTTTCATATAAATGTGGGCATCGTCTAGTTGGTGAACCCGGACGATCTGGTAGTGATGGACGGGTCACGTCTCGATTACGTACGGTCTGACCAAAATAGCATGTGCCAAAGCACTGACTCCATTCGGTCCAATCGGATACTTCACATTCTGTAAGAGTTTTCAAGAGATCGTCTATGACACATTTTGCATTTTTAGGGGTCATCTTTAGGTGACTAGCGATAACATTCATTTCTGCTTGAAACTTCGTAGTAGGTTCGGCTATGGTTACGAAAAGTTTTTGCCGTAATTATGAACCCAGCTACTGCTTTTTATGGTAAAGCTAGACCTTATCAAACTAAGCCACCCGTGCACTTTCCGGGCTCAATCGACTTTCGGTCACTCATTTCTTTCCAAAAAAAAGTAAACAAAGTATGACATAATAATTCTTTTGCCATACAAGTTTGATAAGTACCAAATTTTATCGTGTATGACTGAATGACTTTCAAACTTTGAAGGTTTTCGGAAAGATGAAAAAGAAAGAACAAATTCTAAGTTTGCTAAGCTGCACAAAAACGTTTGAAGTTGTTCAAAATCCTTAGATCTAACAAAATGGATATCGAAAGATACTTTTAGGTTGTTAATAATATGCTAATCATTTTCAAAAAGCAAGTATTGCATAACTTTTGAATGTATAAAGGAATGACAAAATGCTGGACTACTCATATCAGGTGAAAAATCTCCGACCATACCTTTGGAACAATCAAGACAGCTTTTTAGGTACTGTATCTTGACGTAGATCTTCACACTTAATATACTGGAATTTTCTACTTGGGATTGCAGTGAGTTAAGCGAGAACATAGAATTGTCGCAACGTGGATTTGGTCTAAGACGGTTAGACTTGAAAAAACTACACATGCTTGCCCCCTTATCGTAACTAATGTGGTAATTCAGTAAAAAAATCAGAACAAATAGAAAGTTATTTTGTAAGTGTCAATTTTGTAGGGAGAAAATTCTGGTCTCAAAAATCTTCACTGAGCTTTGGATGTTCTATCTGGCACAATGAGAACATCAAAAATAAGATGGCTAGGCTTTTTCAGATAAGCGGATGATCGAATGAGTTTCTGTTTTTTT